TGATCAAAACCGAAAGTTTCTGTGATGACTGCCCTTGTACTGTTCACCATGTAAGAATTTATTCACTATGTAAGAATTCGTTCACCATGTAAGAACTTGTTCGTTATGCTTCAGAAGATTGGAGACTGTTGAGAATTAGGCTTGGGGTTGATTAATGATTGTGCATTGAGTCCCCTATACAGAATTTTATTTTTGTGAACAACCATTTGATCAATAAATATGAGAGATGCCCTCTCAAAAAAAAAAAAAAGAAAGAAGCTGCAGTGACTTGGCAGGCTTGGGATAGGAGACATGCCGACTCACAGGGCTGGTGGAGTGCCCTGGACAACCGGCAGACTTCTGACGTGCATGCTGCCCAGGGATTTGTGTCTCAGTATGAATGAGGTTTTGAGTCTGAAAAGCAATTGTGTCCAGTAACTGTGAGCTTCCCAGGCTGCAATGCCCCCTGAGCAGGGAAACCCCAGAGCAGACGCCTCTGGTTGCCTGGAAAGTGCTCAGACTTTTCTGTTTCTATGAGGAAAGGAACGATTCACATAGTGACTCGGGAACAGGGGTCCTGTCTCCCCTAAAACTCGGCCCCAACCACTTCAGAGCCCTTAGGAAGTGCTGCTCACAGGAAGCCTCCTGGCCGAGGGTCTGCTCAAGACCTGCCAGGCCACCTGCCTTGGAACCTGAGTGTATGCAGAGCAGGGGTTCAGGTGTGAGCAGTGAGCCCGTACACTTGCACAGCTGACCCGGCTTCGTGGGTGGAGAGTGCAGTGGGGACCTGGGGGCCTGCTCAGGCGCTGGTTCATGCGTGTGGTGGGTGGTGAGGTAGCTGGGTGCCCTCGGCACACTGTCTGGCCTGCCACCAGCCCTCAGGGCAGCTGCTCCTGGTTCTGTCCCTGGGCTGCCGCACAGGCAAAGCCTCAGGAAGCTGACCACGTGCTCTGCCTTACAGACCCATTCTGACCTGACTTCTGTCTCCACAGGGAACTGCACCTGGGGAATGAATTGCAGGTTTATACACCCCGGCGTCAACGACAAGGGCAACTACTCCCTCATCGCCAAAGCCGAGCCCTTCCCGCCTAATGGTGCCCCGCCTCCAGGGCCTCACCCACTGATGCCTGCCAGCCCTTGGGTGCGTGGATGCCTCTTCTCTTTCATCGCTAGCCACTCAGCCCCTAAACTGCTGTGAACCTCCATTAACACGCCTTGTGTAAAAGGCGTTTCTGTGGCACCACAGAGGTGCCTTCCAAGTGCTTCCGCTGTCTCTGCACAGAGGTGATCCTAGCCTCAGGCCAAGCAGCGTGTCTGTGGACAGAGTGAGGCTTGGAGGAAAGAGCAGGCCGAGTGTGGCCAACTCCTGTTTCACTGGCGTCCACTCCTCTGCTCATGGATATTAAAGTCTCGCCTCCTCAGCTTCTCTCCTCTCGTCTCTTAACAGGGCGGGCCAGTAGTGGATGAGCTTCTGCCTCCGCCCCCTCCGGAGCCCCCCACCGAGAGTGCCTGGGAACGAGGACTCCGGCACGCCAAGGAGGTAACAGCGTCCTGCAGAAACTGGGGAGGTGCCAGCAGTGGTCCTCACACAAAACTAGGGCTTTTCGATCCAGAGGCAGTGACCAAAAACTCAGAAAAGCCTCTGAAGTGAGGGGTGTGTTTGTGATACCTTTGAGGAGCTACGGAAAACAATGTCTGTCTCTCTGAGGCGTGCTCGGTCATGACACAGCGTAGGAGGCTCATAGGTCACACCAGGACAGGGTTCCCCGCATTTCTCCTAGTGGCTAGTGTTGACCTCTTTTTTCTTACAATGGCAGGTTTTAAAAAAAGCAACCATTCGAAAAGAACAGGAGCCTGATTTTGAAGAGAAAAGGTTTACGGTGACCATTGGTGAAGATGAACGGGAATTTGACAAAGAAAATGAAGTTTTCCGAGATTGGAATTATCGAATCACAAGGGATGTCAGAGACACAACGTAAGGAATGGTTCTGCCCCTTCCTTCCCCTTTGAGAGAGAGTTAAAGTTGCGCCCAGCTGTGGGGCGTGCGCTCTGGAGAGCAGCAGGGAGGCTTCCCAGGTGGGTGGGGGCTAATGCCCAGCCGCTGTCTCTGGACCGGGCTGACACCCCCCGAGACCGTGTCAGACTTCCTGCGCTTGACTTTCCCCAGTTTCTGCTTCTGTGGAGGGAAGGTTTTAGCTCAGTGCCGGGGCCATGACTGAGAGGGGCTTCCTGTGAGCTCTGGGAGTTTGTGCAGCTGTTCCTGAGGCCCCAGGAGCCCCATAAGTCTCGGCCTCCCCACCTCCCCAAGTGACCAGGAACCGTCCAGGATCGTGGCGAGCATGGCCCCTTCTGTGGTCAGCGCTGTGTGCACTGTTTCTTCTCCCTGACACATCGCTTGTCTTTTAACACTGGTCACAGAGGAAGGGCCCGTGGTTGGAAGACATGTCAGTTCTTCAGAAGCTGCGACATGAAGTGCGGCCCTCCCCTCGCTCCCTCTCCTGGGAAGGGTCTGCCCTCGCCTTGCCCGTGGGGAGGACACGGGCCTGAGCGGCCGGGGCAGGGTGGGCTCCGGCCGTGGGCCAGCACGCAGTGCAGTCAGGGTCCAGGCCAGCTTCAGCACCCTCTTAAGCTAGAGCAACACTTGGTGCGTTTACGTTTGCTACTGGGAAGTGACAATTGCTAGTTTCTGGGTGAAATGACAGTAAAAGGTGCAGAGAAAGGAACACATATGAAGCTTGTGTTTCAGGGTTCAGTCGGGTTGACCTGGACCCCCCCAGGCTGTCTCAGGCCTCTCATCCCGTGTCACCACTGTGCTTCCTGCTTGCGGAAAGGAGAGGAGGTTTCTAGTCAGAATGTGAAGGGGTAGATTTAAAGACATAATTAAAACTGACATTTTTCTAATGCTGGCATGTGGAAACAGGGTTAGATCACAGGAGTGAGAGTCAGGCTGCTTCCGCTGGTCACCGTGGCACCCAGCCCCACGCACGCCTCGAGGCCTCAGGGCGGAGCTGCTGCCTGCCCAGCACGCTGCAGAGCACCCAGGGCCTGCTCCGACTGGGGTGACCGAGCCTGGGAGGAAAAGCTTCCAAACCTTGGCTCCCAGGATGGCGGCTTCCCATCCTGGCTGGAGCGGGGGCCTTGAACATGTGCCTGATGGGGAGCAGCCTGCAGGCCTTGTTCTGCAGCATGCTCGCCAGCCTCGCCAAATGAACCCCAGGGCCTGTCCCGCCCCAGGTTGGCTGCCAGGCTGATGCTGGCATCTTCTCACCCGTGTGGGGGGGATGCTGGCATCTTCTCAGCTGGGCAGGGGGGATGCTGTGGGACTAGCCTTACAGCCAGGTTTCTGCTTGTGTTTCATTTGCTTTTTCAACATCTGTCGTGAGTCAGAAGTCACTGGGAGCTTTTGTGGCATGCATATGCCAGGCCCCACCCAGACCTGGTAAGTCCAGACCTCTGGGAACCGGGAGAGCCTCAGCTATTTCTTGTCCCTGGGGATCCACTCAGCAGAGGAGACCACCTGGCTGTGTTAACGGAGAGCATTTCACAGGACGAGCTGTGTAGGTGACTGTAGAAGGCAGGACAAGAGGTAGCAACTGCAGGAGGCAGCTGCTGCCCAGGGCCCGGGGGACCCCGGACACCAAGCAGGGGGCACTGCCCGCTCTACAGGCCTGGGGAGGGGAGGGAAGTGTCACTGCAGAGCGAGTGCCCCTTCTACCCTGGCCCCTGTGGCCTCCCTGGAGCAGCTGGCAGAGCAGGGTGCACTCTGCAGAGAGAGCGGGAGGGTGGCTGGGCTGTTTCACCCCTCCACCCGTGTGTCCCCTTGTGTGCTGGGCCTCCTCCGTTCCCATGGCATCTAAGGGGGCATCTCATCTGCCCACCATGTCTTGCCTTGTCTTGCATGGCTCTATTTCCCGGTGAACTTGGGGATCAGCTTCTGTAGCTGTTGGCAAAAAAACTCATTGGTGTGTTTGTTGGGACTGACCTAATTGTAAGCGAGTCGGGAGAGCTGACTGCCTGACAATGTCCACTCGCCCTATCCATAGGTGAGAAATGTCGTGTCATTTATTCAGGCATGCTTTTATGTCTTTCAAGAATTTAATTTCCCCCAAATAGGTTCTGTACATTTCTGGCTAACTGTATTTTTGTTCCCTAGTTTGCTTTCTTGCTATCAAAAGTGAGATTTGCTATGCTGTCTCCTAACTGGTCATGTGGTACACCAACGTGTTGGTTTCTGTACCGTTCTCTCCACCACCACGAGAGTGCTTCTGACTGTTTGGATGGCCTTTAGGGAGCCTGGTTTTCAGGCATCTACCCTTCAGTTTGCCGGTTGAGATCACGTGGATCTGTTCGCCACTCCGCCTCTCCCAGGCTCCTCCGGCCTGATCACGTGGCCTGCACGTGGCGGGTCCTTGTGGAGGCCCAGCAAACCTCCCCGCCTCTTCCTGGGCTCACAGAAATGCCTCCCCCTTTCCCACTTACAGGCTGCTGGCTCTGGTTCTAAGGTGTATGTGTGTATTTCCTCACATTAAGAAAGTATCATTGCCTGATTGCTTGTGGATTTTCATCAGGAACCGGTATTGAATTTTTGTCATGGACATTTTCATTAATGTATGTAGTATATTAATGAATTTCCTAATAATGATTGACCCTTGCTTTCCCGGAATAAATCCCGCAAGTCATGGTGTAGTTCTCGGTTTGTCGATTCTGTTCACTAAGATTTTAATATTTGTGCGTGAATCATCCTAATTATTCCTCACCTTTTTCAGGCTGGAGCCTTATGCGGATCCTTACTATGACTATGAAATAGACCGGTTCTGGCGCGGGGGGCAGTATGAGAATTTCAGAGTGCAGTACACAGAAACAGAACCCTACCACAATTACCGGGTGAGTCACGGCTCTGGTGTGCACATCTGAAGTGCATCGATCAATTTGTTAAAGTTGTTATTTTTTTATTTACAGGACTTTTTATGGGCTTAATTGTGTCAGCACAGGGATTAATTTCAATCCCAAATTGACTGGAGAACTGATTCAGATTAAACTAGTGATGATTGAAACAGAGACTTTTTTGGGTTTATCTGTGTTCTTGCTTCGGCTTTGCCTGTCGGGTCACTGACACAAGTCTGCCGGGACCGTGACCCCCCCCTTGGAGCTCATTCTTCTTTCATGCCCCTTAGTGATTGCATTTATAATTGTCCTGCCATTGCCGTCCTGTCCAGTAAACCAAGTGAGTACGTCCCTTCAGGCCTCTGCCAGCCACGCCTTGGTGGTCCGGTGGCAGACTGTTCTAGATCAGCATTTCTCTGAGGGTTCCGTGTTTATGAATACATGAACTTGAGCCTTCGAGGGCCTCGTCTCAGTGCTTCCAGAGCGCTGTGAACAAGCCGCAGCCAGGACGGGGCCAGGCAGAGGCAGGCAGCAGTTTGCGCTCCGACTTGTAGGACAGTGGGAAGTTCAGGACCAGGAGGAGGTGCCTGGTGAGCTTGTGGAGAGGGCCCTGGCCGCCCGCCCGCCCCCCTGCCCCCGGAGCGCAGATTCCTGGCTGGAGCCCCACTGCAGGGCTGCGGTGCCTCGGCGGGGCTGGCGGGGCAGGGCAGGGAGCCTGAAGGTAGGAGGGACCTGCAGCCCGCGGGTCGGTGGGAAGCGACTGCGCTGCGCCCGCGGCCCGTGCAGAGTGCCGGGTGCACGGGCCCCGCGCCGCAGTGCGGGGAGTGCGGGCACGGCCGTAGGGCAGGGACGGGAGCTGCAGCTCCGGCGGGCCCCGCCCAGCAGAGGCGCGGGCGCTGCGGGGAGCCGCGCGTGCGGGGCGCTGCACCTGCCGTGCCCCGCCGCCCCGACACCCGCCCCCCACCTGCCGCGCCTGGGCTTGTTCACCGTGCACACTGCCTCTGGATGCCCACCGTGTTTGAAAGGAGAAACTTGGGCCCGGCGCGGCCGCCGGCCCGCCCGCCCGCCGTGCGCTCGCTGTGTGCCGGGCCTCTTACCGCCGCGCTTGGCTTTCCGACAGGAAAGGGAGCGAGAGCGCGAGCGGGAGAACCGGCAGCGGGAGCGCGAGCGGGAGCGGGAGCGGGACCGAGAGCGGGAGCGCCGGCAGCGGGAGCGCGAGCGGGAGCGGGAGCGCGAGCGGGACAAGGAGCGGCAGCGGCGGAAGGAGGAGTGGGAGCGGGAGCGGGCCAAGCGCGACGAGAAGGAGCGGCAGCACCGCGACCGCGACCGGGACAAGGAGCGCGAGAAGGAGAAGGAGAAGCCGAGGCCGCGCTCCCCGCAGCCGCCCAGGTAGGAGGGGGGGCCGCCCCCTCGCGTGACCCCCGGGGGGGCCTCGGGGCTGCGGGCTGTGCGCGCCCGCGGTGCGGGTGCGCGTGGAGGAGGCGGCTCCGGGGTCCCCGCAGCCCTTGTGAACGTCTGTGTGGCGGAGGTGAGCGCGAGGCGAGCGCGGGTGGCCCTGGGAAGCAGATCCAGAATTGGGTGCAGTTGGTGTTTTCCTCCAGCCGGGTAACCGTGCAGCACGCCCCAAGAGCGCAAATTTAACGGCGTATAGGACATTCACAGTTGTGCTGCAGTCACAATTTCAGACCACTTTTGTCCCCATCACCAGCCATTCCCCCTTTCCCTGAATGCCCCCGGCCTTACTGACAGTCACTGACCCACTTCCTGTGATGGGCTTATTTGCTCTGCACATTTTGTATGTGGAATCATACGCCGTGTGGTCCTCTGTAAGTGGCTGCTGTCACTCGGCACGGTGCTCCCCGGGATTCCCAGCATGATGCCGTGCCAGCGCCTCATCCCGCTGTGTGGCCTTGTAATACTCCACCGCATGATGTACAGCATTTTGCTTATCTCCTTGTCCACTAGGTTGTTTCTGCCTTTTGGCTGTCACGAGTGTGAACATTGCTCTGTATTTTTGCATGGGCATAGTTTTCATTTCTCTTGTGCATACATTTAGGTATGGAATTGCTGGATCATGTGGTAAATATATTTAACCTTTTGAGGAACTTCTGGATTTTTCCAAACTAGCTGCACCATTTTACATTCCCACCAGAAATGTGTGAAGATTCCAGGCTCTTCCCCTTCCTTTACCAGTACCTGTTCTCTGTCCTTTTGATGATGGCCATCCTAGTGGCTGTGAGATGGCATCTCGTGGTGGCTTGGATCGTTGCCCTCTGATAGTGATACGTTTTCGTTTGCTTGCTGGTTGTCCGTGCGTCTTCTTGGAGCAGGGTCTGTTCAGGTGCCCCTTGTTGGATTCGATTGTCTTTGTTATTGAGTCCGAAGAGTTCTTTGTGTATTCTTGGTACAAGTTCCTTATCAGATATCTAATTTGCAAATACATTTTCCCATTCTGCAAGTTGTCATTTCACTTTCTTGAGCTGTCCATTTTCTTTTTTCTTCTTTTTTTTCTTTAAAAGAAAGACTCTTCCCCCCCCCCAGCTTTACAGGGGTACAATTGACATGTAACATTGTGTAAAGTGTAAGGTGTATGATGTTATGGTTTGATCCACATGTATGGCAGGATGAGCACTACATTAAGATTGGTGAACACCAGCATACCCTCACATGATTACCTTTTTTCTGTGTGTAGCGGTAAGATTTAAGATCTGTTCTCTTAGCAACTTTCAGCTACACAGTATTAGTAACTCTAGTTACTATGCTGTACATTGGATCTAAAAACTCATTTTATAATTGGAAGTTTGTACCTTTGACCAACACCTCCCCTTTATCTCTCCAGAAGCACATGGCAACTGCCATCCTGCTATATGTCTATGAATTTGGCTTTATTAGATTCCACACATAAGTGAGGGTCAAGAGTCCTTCTCTGCCTGACTTATTGCACTTGGCATGATGCCCTCCATGTCCGTCCATATCCTCCCAAAAGTCAGGATGTCCTTTTTATGGCTAAATAATATTTATGGCTAAGCCTACACTACATCTTCTTTACCTGTTCACCCATCAGTGGACACCTGAGGCTGTTTCCAAGCTGGGGCTGCCGGGAGTAGTGCCATAGTGAACATGGTGGGAGAACGGAGAGCTCTGAGTAGTGGCTTCACCTCCTTTGGATACAATGCCCACGAGTTGGACTGCTGACCATGTGGAAGTTATATTTTAAATTTCTTAAGGAGCTTCCATGCCATTTTCCATAGTGGCTGCATCACTGATGTTCCCGCCACCATGCACCAGAGTTCTCTTTCGTCCACATCCATGCCAGCACAGGTTACTTCTCATCTTTTTAAGAGCAGCCACTCTGAGAGGTGGGAGGTGATTCTGCACTGTGGTTCTCACAGGCGTTTCCCTGAAACTTAGTGGTGGTGAGTGACTTTCATGTTCCTGTTGGCTGTTTGTGTGTCCTCTTCAGGAAAATGTCTAGTGAGGTCCTCTGCCCATTTTTTAATTGGATTGTTTGGGTTTTTGCTGTGGAGTTAAGTGAGTTCTTCCTGTGTTTTGTATATTAACCCCTATTAGATAGATGGTTTGCAGGTAACTTCTCCCTTTCAGGAGGCTGCCTTTTCATTTCGCTTTTCTTGTGCTGCGCAGAAACATTCTGGTTGGACGTCCCACTGTTTATTTTTGCTTTTGTTGTCTTTGCTTTTGGTGTCAGATCCAAAAACATTGTTGCCAGAAAAATGACCAACGTCACGGAACTTTTCCCCACTGTTTTCAGTTAGGAGTTGCGTGGTTTCAGATCTTACATTTAAGTCTTTAATCCATTTTGAGTTCACTTTTGGGTATAGAGGACTATTTTGTGTAAGATGGGGTCCAGGCTCCTATTGCATGGCCTGTATTCCCAGCACCGTTTATTGAAGGGACTGTCCTGTCCCCATTGTGTGTTCTTACCTCCTTTGTTGTGATTTGCCATATGTGTGTGGATTTATTTCTGGGCACTCAATTCTGTTCTATTAATCTGTGTGTTTATGCCAGGATGATACTGTTTCGGTTACAATAGCTTTGCAATAGAGCTTGAAATCAGAAAATGTGATCCCTCCAGCTTTGTTCTTTCTCAAGATCGTTTTGGCTGTTTGGCATCTTGATTCAGTTCCATACATACGTTAGGATTGTTTTTTCATTTCTTTGAAAAATGCCCTTGGAAATTTGATAGAGATGGCACTGAGTCCACAGGTGGTTTGGGGTAAAATGGACATTTTAACAATACTAATTCTTCCAATCCACAAACATGGAATACCTTTCCATTTATCTGTGTCATGTTCAGTTTCACCAGTGTCTTGTAATTTTCAGTGTACATATCTTTCACCTCCTTTGTTAAATTTCTAGTTATTTATTATCTTTAACGTACCTGTAAATGGGTATTTGTAAATGAGACTGTCTTTTCTTTTTCAAATCATTCATTGTTCAAAAATGCAGCTGCTTTTTGTATGTTCATTTTGTGTCCTTTAACTTTACTGAATTCCTTTATTTCTAACAGTTTTTTGGTGTATGAAACCAGGTTCTCATCTCTACCTCTTGTCCTCTTGAGTAGACAGCTCCTTTCCTGGGTGCAGGTGTGTCTCTGAAAGCGAGCATCAGGACTGTGGTCGTCCGTGCTATTTGTGACTGTGGCAGGACACTTAGTTTGTGATACTTGCCCATTGTGACTACACTCTTCATCCTCTAGACTGCAACAAATTAACTTCCACAAATTTGCTGTTATTTCCTTCATTCTTTGCTAACATAGGGTGAAGTGATGTTCTTAAAGAACATTCAGGGTAAATCACTTCCTTTAGATACACTGAGACCGTCCGTTTTTTTAAAAACTGCTTTGATGGATCTTGTGTTCCAGCAATCACTCTCTTGTTATCTTGAAATTTGAAAGGAAATTTCCATTTATTTGAATGGAAAAGCCTGATTTTGGTCTTTCTGTTGTTGATCCCTTTGAAGCCCTTTTGGTGCAAGCCCCTCCCCCTGAGATGCACAACAGGCCAGGATGGACTAAGTCCTGGGGCTGCACTGGGGGCCCTACTGGAAGGATAAGGCTCTGTACCCTCCTGCTCCCCTGCCAGGCTCTTTACTCATCCCCTTGCCTCTGATTGCCTGTTGCCGTTTGGAATGTGCCCCTGGGGGGCACCGTGGTCTCAGGGCCATCTCAGCCCGGCAGAGAGCTGGTGCTCACAAGCGCTTGAGGGCTGTCACGAGGGAGTGCTGCATTTTTACCCTGTGTGAGTGTTGAGGGCTTGACAGAATTGCAGGCTGAGTTCTGCAAACAGAACGGACTCAGCCCACTTTCCAGATCCATTAAACGGCTCTGAATTCATGCACCTCCAGACCCCTGGTCTTGGGAGCAGACAAGCATGGGCAGGTGGCACCTCAGATGGCACTCAGCCATGGCACTCTGGCTTCCTGCGCTGCATCAGCAAGTCCACTTCTGTGGTTTTGTGGTTTACGAGCATAAGCCCTGGCCACGAGCCCCCTTCTCAGTCCTGTAAACATGTCCTGCTCGTTCCCAAGAAGCCAGGCAACTCTCACATCAAGTGTCTGCTTTCTAGCTCAGGGACACCCTTCCACACTCGTGTGCTTTCAGAGAGTTACTGAAGGGCAGCTGCGCCGGCAGCTGTGCTTCCTGCCTGTGGGGCAGGTACCCATCCCGTGTGCATTATATTTTCTGAGCTGCCCACCCTCCCCAGAGGAAGACATGTATGGATCCAGAAAGAGTGTTTTGAAGGCAGCAGTAGTGACGGGCTTGGCCCCAAGCAGCAGAGCCCCGAGGAGAACGGGCTCCAGACCCTCTGTTTATATAGCAGAGATGCTCGGTGAGGAGAGGGGACAGGGAGAGCCCAGCTGGGCCAGCAGGTGAGGCCCGAACCCTGGACCAGAGGAGTTCTTAAAGTCAGATGCAGCGTTTCTCACCAGACTAGGCAGGTCTGCTCTGCTGCCCGTGTCTGGCTGGTCTGTTCCCCTTCGGCCCATGTCCCCTCCTTTTCTTCCCAAAGTCTCCCTTGTGCTCCTGGGTACCCCTGCCCCCGGCACCTGCTGCCACCAGCAGAGCTGGGCACCCCCTGTCCCTCAGGCTAGACCAGTCTGTCTCGTGGTCCAAGAGTATCTTGAACCCTGTCTTTGATCAGCCCAGCTAGAACCCCGCCAGCCCCAATCCCGGCCTGCAGGGCAAGGGTTTCCCCAGAGCAGAATACCCAGCACGGCCCTGTTTCCTTTCCCTTCAATCAGCCAGAGCCAGCGCGGCCTTCTTCGGAAGGTGGCTGGATTTCCCGCAGTAATACTTCTACACGACCTCCCTTGGATAGAGGAGCTTGTTTATTTAACCTTTGACTCGTTGGGAATTTTTCGTTGGCAGC